CAAAAATAACTCAATATTGTATTGTGACTATAAACATGCATATAAGATTCTAATATTCGCTATTTTTAGTAGGACATCTTGGAGCGTAATGACCAGTTTTATGACACAAACCACATTTACGATCACCAGAATTATCATTATCAATTATATCATTATTACTTTGGTTTTGGCTATCTACTTTATTTTTTTCAGTATAACCTTTTATTTGCTTGTTTGGGGGTCTGCCTTTACCTCGACGTTTTATTGGATCTTTTACATTATCCGCATTATATATATGACTATTAGACAATCTAATCTCGCAGTTTAAACCCGTATTTTCTTTTAGAACCTTTTGATTCAGTTGCATATCTGTTTTCTGATTTGCTTCTTTTTCTGAAATATAAGACAATATAATATCGTCTAATGCTTTTTGATCATTATCTTCTAGCGAATAGTTTAATGCTTTTTTGAAATGCTCCATAAGCTGGCCATAATATAATTTTTTATACGTATGTTAATAAATCTGACTTTCTTGCATATTATTATAATGCTTAGGAATAGGATACGTTTCTTGTAAATTATCAGATTGGAACCTTTTAAATCCTTTAGCGATGCTCTAACAAAAGGCTCACTAGAAGCCAAATTAACTTTATTCCACATATCATCCTGAAACCATCGTGTTGGTATCATCTTAATATGAAACAATGCATTTGAATTTTCTACTATGAGTTTAAAGTAATGTTGACAAATAGTTCCATGTGATACTAACAATAAGCATGTACATAAATGCGTTCCATCCTTGAGAAGAATAATATGCTGATATGAACTTGTTGTCATATACAGAACAATTCTCTATACTTCACAAATTAATTCTTTTGAAACTGAATTCATTAGTGTTTTTAAATATGCCTGTTGATGGTCATAATGGTCTTCAATATTTGTAATATCTTTATTATCTTGATTATCCGCTAATGGTACCTTATTCTAAAATTATATAATATATACTAGTTAATATATCTTTAACTAACACTAATGCTAAACTATCCCTAAACTAACCTAAACTAACCTTAACTCTAACCACTAGTATGCTTCGTATAACCCTTTCCTAACCCTAAACTAACCTTAAACTAACGCTAACTCTAACCACTAGTATACTTCGCATAAACTTTTCTTATACTAAATTAACTCATCTAACCTTAAATTAATTTATACTCTCTTACACTATTAATTAACACTAACTCAAACCTTAATCTATAATAATATTCACTTAATAGATACTAATATAAGAATTCAAAATAGATAAAAGAAATCATAATTAACTTACTAATTGATCTTCAATAAATTCAAAGGCTTCTTCATTAGGTACCTTTTCACATTTATATAGTACAGATTCGCACATTTGTGTATAGATCGCTTCAATAATTCGTGGTGAAAAATATTTTTTTATTAAGTCATTTATTTCATTAAAAAAGTTCTCTACAATGAATGGTTGTTGATATATTGTTAACTTGTATTTCCAAGCTATAAAACTCTTATTCATAGCTTCTTGTTGCATTCGAGAATCTAACGCTTCTACTACATTAGCCATAGAAGAACTAGCAGAAACAGCTTTGTGGATAAGCACATTTATTGACTCAACACATTGTGTTGACTGCATGCCAACTGTAAATATTCGGCTTGTAAAAGCACGTGCCCAAGAATAGCGTGTTGTATAAATCAGATCATGCAAATACTCATTAGCATTAGGATATGTATCCAATAAAGTTTGAAACCTTTGTTCAAAAATATTAACACATAATGCATTGCGCATTTTCCAAAAGTCATTAATAAATGCTTTGTAATCAGCAGAACCAAGTTTATTTTTAAGCCGTTTGGATAAGTTTTGAGATAAGTGCTAAATACAATGTACATGATAAGCATTATTATATATATTTTGACAAGCAGCATCCATGGCTGGGTCCATATCTGTTAAAATAACTTGTGGTTCAAGACCAGTTGCATCTAATGTCTGTTGTAACATCCATTCATAACTTTCTTGTGTCTCATCATTTATAAAAGCTTGTGCTCCTAACTGTGATTTTCTATCATTATCAACAAGTATAAACAATGATAAAGGATAGTTATATTTATTAGTTCTTGAGGTGTTATTATGTAAAATGACATCTGAGTAACGGGTCCATAACATAATTTGGTCCCCTGTCATTCAAAATATATCACATAATCTATCACTATCCATATTAATAAGGGGTTGTATAAACATCATAGGCTCTTTCTTTTGTTTCTCAAGAAGATACTTTAACAATTAAGAGGTGTCTGAGCCGGCAATATTTTTTTCGCATTTTATTTTTTGTATAGTATTCGAGAGATCTTGGGTAAGAAAAAGTTGATCAGGAAATAATGGTTGTAATAAGTTCCTGATAGTGTATGCATCACAACGACCATAAATTATAGCACGTTCAATTTCTAACATTATGGCTTGATCAAATTTTCAGAATGTTGTAGCAAACTTTGAATTATCGGCAATTAATTCATGATTATGGACAAGCTTTACAAAAGTCATGTATATATCATCGTCACTTTCATGTTTGCTTAAATTGACATGCCATTCGCAATTAGATTTCTTTGAACCTTTATTGCATTGTTGGTTTGATGGTTTCACTTTATTAGGTTTATATATTCCAGCCTTTTCACATGCAAATGTTCTTTTTTTTACTA